TTTTTTTAACCTTTTTTTTTTTACCATGTTACTTTAGTTTTACCTAATTTTTAAGTCTTTGTAGTTTCATGTGACTGATAAAAAAAACGAAAGCATGCTATAAAGATTTGATTAAAAATTAGGTGAAATAAGGACCTGATAAAACAAGTTTTGAGAATAAAAAAATGTTTGGATTATTATTTTAAAAATCACATTTGGCTAGTGGTTGCCGTCACCTGATGATATGTGGTGAGTGATAGGCAAGAAGAGAAAAAAGTTTTCCTAATTTTTCAAAACAAAAATTATAAAAATACAAAAACAAAAATAAGAAAATATTTAAAAGTAGTTTTGATTTTTTTAATTTTTAAGAGCATATTATTGTTTTTTTCCCCAAAAGCAATAAAGTAAAAGCAAATTTCAAACAACTGTTTTTGTTTCATTGTTTCTATTGAAAAAGAAAAAAGGTTGTTCTCAAGACAAGAAACCAAAAGAGCCCTGCTCATCTCTATACAAAGAGACTATTAGTTAAACAGACTATTAGTTGTTACTCAACCACTTTCTGACTATCTCTCTCTGTTCTCTCTCTCTCTCTCTCTCTTTTTTTTGCGCGTTGTTATCTATAATTTGTAGGAGTAACTAAAATCACTTTTTCCAAAAGAAAAATCAAATAAATTCGCCCTTAATAATCTCTTGGGTTATTATTCATTTTGGCTCTTTGGGGTCATAAATTAATATTAGCGAACGATTTCTCAAATGCTTGGTAATTTTAAGGAATTGAGTCCATTGAGGAACCTAGCCATACTGGGGAACAGCTTTGAAAGATACAGGACTGTAATATCAGAGAATAATGAGCCTGTCACTTTCATGTTTGATAAGAAGGTCGAAACACACTGGAAGAACTCACCTTATATTGAGGACGAAAAGGAAGCATATTTTTTCTGCTGAGAGAAATGTACAAATGAGTTTAGAATCAACATAAGTGTAGAAGCTTTGTTTCAAGTTCACTCCTTAACACACACACACACACACATATTCATAAGGGAGTAGTTTTGTTGCCGATCAAGAAAGCAGAGAAATAAAACCAACTTGATTTTGAATGGAGAAGTAGATTTCCATAATGAAATATGATTTTCAACATTTGAATTTATACTATTTTCTTGATTTTAAATATGACTTCATTAATACCAATAAGTTATTGGTTCAGATCGTAAACAGTTTCACCTTTTAAAGAGAAGAACATAAGTTCGAATATCAAGAAGCGTACTTGTTAGAAGGACTTTAACTTTAACGCTCTTAGTCCGATGGAAATTAATCTCAAACTCAAATTGACATGAAAATACTTAAAATTATACCAAAAAAAAAAATTGATTTCATCAATTTGAGCAAGAGCAATCATCTTCAGCAAGTGCAATTTTTTTTTCAAATATACACATACAAATGACTTTCCTCTTGAAGATTTTTAGATTTTTACATACAATTGATATTAGGTTATATATAATTAAAAAAGAGATGCAAATGTTGGAAATGGTTGCATTTGAAAAACAGAAAAAATGATTTTATAAAATATTAAATCTCAACCATTCATTTTTTTCATTCAATGGTAGGAGAGAATCCAAACCCTATAATGGATTAGGAACTTGGATATCATGATAAAAATATGATTTCTTTTAAGCACATTCATCATGTTCCATAATTACTTTAGGGGACATAATTATCGCCATGATTTGTTTATTCCCACTTTGTCTCATTAAAATAATAATTTGAAGTTAATTAGGTGTGGAACAGTGATTAAGATCCCGTAGATAATGGAAATTAACAACTAACCACACTAGGCCCCACATTATGTCATGTCTTTTTTTTAATTAAGGCCACCCACATTATGCCATGTCTTAGCACCCGTTTGTATTAACAATAGAAAAAGTAGCTTATTCATAATTTGGTTTTTGAAAAAGTTAAATTGATTGATGTAATTTGTGTTTGGATTGACTTTTATAAATAAATCAATTTATAAAAGTAGAGTTGTTTGGATTATTATTGAAAAAATAAGTTTGGTTTTAAAATAACAAAAAATAAATAAATAAATTTTACTAAACAATATATATTTTATTCTCTCTCTTATGCTATACTCTCTGGTTATATTTTCTCTTTGTTTAATCATTTATCTCATTTGTTATAAAAATATATTTGAAATCAAAAGTACTCCTTTTGGTTCATTATATAAGTCACTTCTATAAGAATAACTTAGTCCAAAATATAAGTCACCCGAGTAGTAATTAATGCTCATTTATCAATTTTATCCCTACAATTAATGCTTAAACATGACTCTTTGTATTTTTCTCTTTTATTCACAATTTCATTTAATATGGGTAAAACTGAAAAAAAAAAAATTTGCAATTTCAATTTCAATCATATTTAATGAATCAACTATTATTTTTTGATGTTGACGAATAAATTAAAATGACGGATATTATACATCGGAAGGAATATATTTATAACTTCTTTATCACTTTTAATTAATTTTGACTAATTTTTTATTATTCACAAATTAGTTATTTGAATCTTATAGGAAGAATCAGATACACTAGTAAATTTCTTAAAAGTGAAACTTATTTTTTTAAAATTTTTTTTTCAACTTTTCAAAAACCAAAAGCCATAAGTACCCAACTTTTACTTTTGACTTAAAGTGGCTTTTAATATAAAAGTCAAATTATCAAATCATGAATCCAACCACCGCAAATTTTATGTGCCACATGTTTGATCATTCAACCTCATTATGCAGGCATATAAACTCTTTCACAAACAGAGGCTTATTAGTGTCAATCCTTTTTGTTTTTTTTCCTGCCAACAACGTGAATCCCCTTAATCATTAATGTAAATTATTTTTGCCAACAATCATTAATGTTAGCTTGATTTTATGCATTCATTTGAATGATCATGTGACACGGGGTGGCAAAAAAAAGAGATTGATAATGGGACATATAATCTATTCTTATTAATATTTAATATAATAGTAGAATTTATAACTTTAAAAGCCGTTCTATGTAAATATTAAAAAATCATTTTTAATTTTTAATTTGATAGCTATATATTTTTTCTCTTAATCAAAGCTCTTAATTTCGCTCGTTAGCATTATTAGTCTTGTAATTTTACTCTGTTGGTATCTTTGGCCCCTATAAAAGTTTTTTTTTTGTGTGGCTAACCCCGTAAAAGTACTAACAGTGGTAAGAGTAAAATTAAAATTTTAATTAAAAGAAAACACACACATATATCAAATTCAAAACTGAGGAAAAGTATAATTACCCCTAAAAATAATGAGGTATAAAAATGCAGCACGAACAAAACAATGGCAAAATTGACTTTTTCAACATAAAAATTTTATTTAAGTATAAAATGATTATTGGCATAATTTTAGGGGGTAAAAATTTTTACCCAAAAGGCAATTTTAAAGTTAAAGCAATTTCAATTTGCAAAAATTAATCAAAACAAAGGTCATTTTAACAAGTGTTACTCCAATCAAGCCTTGTATGCACCCCATCTCATATGGTCGTGACAAATGAATATAGGAAGTTGCATCAATAACTTTTTATAAGAAAAATCATTATGAGATCTCTAGAAAATAATATATTCACAAAAAAATATTAATAATAACAAGTAAACAGTATGGACATTATTATGATTTTCTCCATTGAAACTTGCTATTTATTTGTCATGAAACTTTGTGGCAATTATGTTTCTTTCTTATAATCACATAATGTTTTGTCCTTCTTCTTTTTTTTTTCAAACCATTATTTTATTTTTTTAATAATGATGCATATATATTTTTATTAAGAAAGTGTTAAAATATTTTTTGGGGCATATTTTAAGTGATATTATTACTGAAAGTTCTGATCATGTCAGGGGCGCCGATATTGAAGACGATGATGAGATGGGATCGCCTATTCGGCCCACGAATCATCGTGAGGGGTTCTTGTGGAGGCTGAGTGCCACGTGGATGTCAAGTGTAAGGTTTTGGTCCAACATAATTTTAGAATATTTGTTACTCTTGAGAAAATAATTTAAGAGTCTTTTAACTCATAAAAATTATTTTTTATAAGTCAGCACAAAATTTTTTAGTCAACTAAAGGCAATAGATATATAAGAGAAAAAACTTAGGTTAAATTTCTTATATGTTTATGTTAAGTTCTCTAATCATACGTAGTTGTGTTTTTTTTTTTTTAATTTCATATGGATTTGAATTTAAATTCTAATATTTAAAAAATGAGACATTTGATCATGTAAGATTGAAAACTTGACATAATAGATATATGAAACTTATTATAAATATTGCCCATATATATAACACGAAAGAAAAACCAAAAATAAAAACATAAAACAACATAGTTTTGGATTGTTGAAATGTTTTTTTGAAAAAATCATTTGACCGGTTCTCTGGTTTTTTTTTTTCCGGCTGGTTTTAAGTCCAGACAACACTATAAGTACGGTTTTTTTTTTTGGATAAAAATCAAGATACCACTGCTTATTTGAAAAATTTTAGGCTACTTATAAATTTCTTAGCGTTTATTATACAGTATGTAAGTAAAATTAAAAAGTAATATTACTTATTCTAATGATTGGTCATTTATTATTTTTCATTTCCCTATATATATCAAGGCGATTTTTAATACATGGTAAAAAAAAAAGGCGATTTTTAATAGAAGTATTTAGGACAAATTATATGTTTGGTCTTCTAAATTTCGATCAATTTTCACTTTAATTTTTTAAGTTTATAAAGTATGTTTTTAATACCGTCTGCTTGCTGACTCAACAAATTTAAATGTTAACTATGCAATTAAATGTTGAAGAAACGTGCTCTAAGTCTTAATTTATTAATATAATCATTTTACAAATTTAAAATTATTATTATTTAAAACTGAAATAATAATAATAATAAAAAGCTTGACCGCGTTCAAAATTTCAAAAGCAAGGGGTGGGCCGAAGCTTTCATCCACCTTCCTATAATCACAGAGACACACACATTGTGTTCTCTCTCCATAGCCCGAAAAGCACTAAATTTCCATTTCGTCTTTTACTTTCTCTCTCTCAAAAGTGAAAAATTCCTGCCTTTGTTTCTACGTCTCTACCCGAGGCCAACGAAAGCATCCAAACCCAGTTTCCTTCTTCCTTTTCATCCACAATTGCCTCAACAAACCTTAATCCAGAACTTAACGCTTTCAAAATCGTCTTCAATTGCTCTTACAGACCCCAAAAACTTGATTTTTAGCTCTTTCTTTCGCCGTCCTCAGCCGCCGCGTCCCGGGCCCGCCGACTTTCTTCTCCGTTTGAGGATTCTTTTATCTATTTTTTGAAGGCGAGGTTTTCTTCCCAACCTTCTGCAGGTAAGAGAGAAACCCTTACTTCTAACATGTAAAGTGTGGATAGTAAAGGGAGCTGTCATTTGACTTGTTTCTGATATTTTTTCTTTTCATGTCCTCTGAATTGAGCTCTGTTGTAATTTTTTCTGTTAGAAGTGGGAATTATGTTGAATAAATGGAAATTTGGGATTCTTCTTTGTGATCAGGGTCGATGGCTGAACTTGAAAACAACGTTGGATTCTCCTCGGGGAAGACGAGGTTTTCGTTGTTCAGTCGTTCGCTAAGGATGAATTTAAACTCGACCCCAACAGAATCGTTTCAGAAACCCTATCTTGAACCCACTCTTGATCGCTCTGGTTCTGGGAACAAATTTTACAATTCCGTGGAATCGGTGAAGTCTGCGGGAAATTCTCTGAAAGGGAAAGTGAAGAAACTCTGTAGTTTCTTTGAATCTAGGAGAGATACATCAAAAAGCTATGATGAAGCTTCTCTCCCATCACCCAGTAAGCTGAAACCGACGAAATCAATCGATTCCGATTCCAGGGTTTCGTCAAGTTTCAGCAACGACTCTGGTATTAGATTGCCTGGTACTGAGGATCGAATTGTGATATACTTCACTAGTCTGCGAGGAATTCGAAGGACTTATGAGGATTGCTACTCTGTTCGAATGATCTTCAGGGGATTCGGCCTGTGGGTGGATGAGAGAGACATATCAATGGATTCAGCATACAAGAAGGAGTTGCAGAGAGTGCTGGGAGAGAAGAATGTGACACTGCCACAAGTGTTCATCAGAGGGAAGTACATGGGAGGCGCTGATGTGATAAACAATCTCTTTGAAGTTGGCGAATTGGCTAAGATTCTTGAAGGATTCCCAAAGAGGAAACCTGGGTTTGCGTGTGAGAGTTGTGGAGATGTGAGGTTTATGCCTTGCATGAATTGCAGTGGAAGCAGGAAAATCTTTGATGAAGATGAAGGGATTCTCAAGAGATGCTTGGAATGCAATGAGAATGGACTAATTCGTTGTCCAGATTGTGGTTCTTGACCTCACTTTCTATCACAACATGACACTGAACACAACATGGAATGTTAGATTTGGATCTTTATTTTCCAACAGCTGCTAACCGCTACTGTCTGAACTCTAGTCTGTTTCCTTGATCCCAACTAGGAGACGGGCTTGATTCAACGGCTAATGTTTGTAATGTCTTGCACAATTCTGGGTTAAGTTTCTCTCTTAGCCATTACATGAAGCCAGCAGATCAAATTTCATACAGGAGAGGTCAGTTTGGTTTCTGAAAAGAGGATCATATTGGTGGTGTTCATGTGTCTGTCATATATATCAGTTAAGTGTAAGTTCTTCATTAGCTTAGCATGAATTTTGGTTGCTGAAAGATAAATAATCAGCAAGGGAGTTTTATTGTTGGTAATGAATGATATATGGGTTTGAGTCTTAAGGTCTGTGATTCAAATTCTCTTTGAATTTGAGTTTGTGTTTTTTAAAATTATTTTTATGAGCTGATGGGATTCAGCTCAGTCAGAAAATGGGAAGTTTGGGTTTGAGTATGTGTGTGCTTATTGTAATTTCACAGAGAGGAGAGTGTTTCTCCTTGAAGCAGTGTAAATATTTAGTCCTATGGAGGGATTTGTAGACTCTGGCCAATGGCCATTGTCCTTTGTCCATTCACAATTTATAATGAGAATGGGTTTCTCTTTTTAGCTTTCTATCCTAACTTGAAAAGTTTCAGACTTTACATTCCTCAGAGGGTTAATGTTTTTTTTTAATTTTTAATTGGTGCTTATCAGGGTTATAATCTTGATTTTGATCTGGATGTTGAAAATGATGTTTTAACTTTTAAATTTGTAAATTTAGAGAATACTAATGGAGGTTATGAGTTTCATTATTCATATGGCTTATTAGTAAAATGACAATAACAGGTTTCATTTCATCCCTCCAAGTGTGATCGGTTTTGTGGATCACATGTTATTCTTGCTGTTAATAATTAACTCTTTGGGAATATCTTCATTCTTTAAGAAATCTTGTCCTGTAACTTCTTTTTTTCTTTGTTGGAATTAATGGGGTAAGTTTCAACGGTTTGAAATTACAAATAAGATCGAATTTGCTAGCTCTCATTTATTGGGTAGTGTTCATACCATTAACGACAAGGTCATTGACATGCCTACTAATTTCCTTTTATTGTTATTTTGTTTGGTGCAATTCCTTATTCATTCTACTTTTTGTTTTAGATATTAAAAAAAAAACCCCATAAATGAAAGTTATAGAGTTAAAAAAGTAAAAGAAATTTGTAGTAATTGTCTGACCTAATCTTAAGGCGACATTAATTATAATAAATCACTACCTCTTTTCTCTATTATAACCAAACCTTAACCTCCCGATCCTAAATATAAGGTCTTTTAAGTTAACTCATAGAGTTCCAAAAAAGTATGTTGAATGTTTGTAGTTAATATGGAAAAAATTTATAATAGTTTTTGAAAGTTAATCTAGCCATATAATGACGGAAGTTTAATGCACAAAGACAAGATATTCCAACAAATAGGTGTATGACGGTAAAAAAGCACTTAATAAAATACTACCTTATATTTAGAGTCAAATCAAAACATTCAAATAGAGCTTATATTTATGATTGAAAATGAATAATAAATAAAAAATATTTAGATAGAGTTTATATTTAGAATTGAAATAAATAGTAAATAAAAGCGATCAAATTTTAGATACATTTGAATACCATTTTCAGAATTGTTTCTTGAAATAAATGAAGCACCAATAATGAGAATATTTTAGTTCCAAAAATTTAATTTGGCACATAATTATTAAAATAAAACTAACTTTTCGAATCATGTGAGATCAATACATTTAAAACTTAGTTATATTTAAAGGCAGAGGTATTAATTATTTATAATATTTAATTTTATACAATGATAAAATATGAAACAAAATAACAAACATTTTACATATTATTAAAAGAAAATTAGAAAAAAAATTCTCATTGAAAAATTAATTGGTAAGAAAATTCTAAGTCAGTACAAATTTTGCTAAGTATCAATATTTTATGTATATAAAAATTTACCAGGTCTTCTTACTAATAAAATTTTTAATTAGAGAAAGTTTTCTAATTTTCCCTCACATACTCTAATTTTAAAGACAAAGGGGTTCATTTTTCAGAGGCATTATTCATGTTCTTGCGCATGACATGATGTAAGGAAGGTTCTGGTAATTCCAATAGCAATTTGGCTGACGTGTTATGTTGGCAAAGTTCTTAAATATTAATAATAACAATAATAGGCACAAATCTTGATGTTTCTGGAGATTGATCTTCAAGTGAATGTTTTTCCTTCTTTTTATAGTTCGATGTTGTCCAAGGATTCGTCCTTGGTTCCCGTCATATTAGATGCTCCTCTCCTGGTATTTGACTTAATACCTCGTATTACCATTAATAATTCCTAATTTCTAATTATATTCTCACCCAAGATTAGTAACATTAAGAAAATCCCAAAAAATACTTCTTGAATTTTAAAATCTCAAATAAGAATTACTATAAAATTATGTTGTCTTTTATTTTTTTAAGTATTGTTAATTTTTATTAAAGTGTGGTAAATAAGACTGATTTTAAATTTTGAAATTCAAAGAGGTATTTTTTGGGAATTTTTTATTTACATATATTACTAATTTCTGTTTAGAATAGTATTTTTTTTAATTTCATTCTTTTGAACTTTGATCCAAAAATTTGAAAAGTATTATCCTGATTTATAAAATGGGCCTAAAATATATGACTGGAAAAAAAATAAGTGAAAATACGCACTTGATCCTTTTAACATTATATAAGTTTTTTTTACTTGTGTAAAATTTTTGGAGAGAAAACAAGTTTTTTATTTATGCTATTTTTAAAAATATGAATTAGTAAAATTATTTTATTTTCAATAGCTTGCCACAGACTCAAGGTATCTCTCAGCTCAGACGTCCAAAGCTAATTTTATGAACATGAATAAGACTTTGCAACCTAATCTTATTTTTTAAAAAAAACAAAATTAAAAATTTACTTGCTATGAAGGTGATTTTTTTAATGCTGAAAATTGTCATAATTGTTTACAAGTTTAGGGTCTAAAATTTAGGAGGAAAAAGACATAAATTTTCAATCCAATTTACTTGGTCGGTCCATTATTGTAACAGTAATAATTTCAATTAATTATATTTTAAGTGACAACTTTCCGGCCTACTATGTGTGTTATGAAATAATTAATTAAATAGAATTAAATGAAGGTAGAATATGATGATGGGGGCATTGAATGAAGAGGACGTGATTTTATGATATCGTGAGATTTTTATTTTATCTGCCGACCACCTAGAAAAAGGATGTTCCTCATTTCTATCACCACACGATTCTGCCGCTGTGTTTTGTCCACATTATCCCACCTGTCACTTTGCAAAGACCTAACAGTCTGCTCTGCTTTTCTTATTCTTGTACTTTAAAATATATTAATTTTTATTAAAATATAATAATTTAATGTGTAAATCTTTTTAAAAAATTAATTATCTATATTATAATAAATGAGGAATAAAATAGTATATTTATATTAAAAATTTAATAAAGTGATTTATAAATAAGACTAAAAAAATATTCTCTCTCTATCTTATCAATAGTATTAGAGGAGTACTATAGTGGATGGGCTTCTTATTTTATTTAATAAAAATTAAAAATATAAAAAATTAAGTTTGTTGGCTATCAGAAAAAAGTGTAAAATAAATTATTTTTTAAGTAATTCTGGCAAAAAAATTTGTAAGACACTTTATGAAAGTAATTGACAGTGATTTAACAACCACCATTCTTGTTTCTAAATATAAATAACAGTTATAAGTTGTTTTAAATTTTTACAACAATTTTTCTATATTACCAATATTAAAATTTCATTTTAATAGGTAATAGGAAAAATGACAAATAAGGAAGTTAAATATTAGCATATTTTAAATTAGGTACCTAATACTTTAAAATTCTTTCTTGGTGAGAAAGTAGTACCTGATATAGTAATTTACAAATTTAGTTAAATGATTAAATTGCCCTTATATTAAAAATTTTATTAATAAGTTGTGAACTAACAATAACAACTATTAAATAGCTAATGACACAAAATGTATTGGTAATAATAAGTTATTTGTTAATAAATTATAAACTGACAATGATCAATATTAAACAGCCAATGACAAAAAAATATTGCAATGACAAGTTTGATAGCTTTTTTTTTTAATCTCATACAAGGACATTTTAGTTATTTATTTATGTTTACAAAATACCAGATCAGTGTCCACTTTCTTTTCTATCTTTCCCAATGCTTGAATTGGAAAATAATAATTTTTGGGTTTTTTTCTGAAATTTTTTCTAGTCAATATCTTTTTCTCCCCTAAAACATCATTTCCTAGATAATAAATATTCTCAGTATTGTATTTTAATATAATATTTCTCCATAGCACATTTTCTTTCTTTCATAATTCTTTTTATTATAATATTTTTTTATTCTTTTTCTATATTTTCCTTATAAATAAGGGTATTTTAAAGATTTTTTTTTTAAATTTTTACCCATTTATTAGCTTTAATTAGTTTGAATTAGCTTTTTGATCTACGTGATTCTTTAAGGTTGCTTGTAACAAGGGAAGGGAGTGTAAATTACCAAATTAGGTACAATTTTCTTTTTTCTTTTTTTGCTAAAAGATGTAATTTATTATTATAAATAGGGATAAATATTAAACTTTATTTCATATTAAAATAAATTTAAGGACGTAATCAGCTCTGTTCAGGTAAAATGGTGAGAGGTGTCTTATAATGAGAGTGGCACTGCATACCCACAGCCACAATAAGATGTGAACCATCATCTATTCATCTCCCCTAACTATTTTTCTTTCTAATCTTAATCACAATTATTTTTCAACTTTTTGCTTGATTAAATATTGACTTCCCTTAGTAAACAGAATTAATTTTAGCCATTGGATAATTGCTGACATATGAGATGACGATAAAGGACAATATTTATTAAATAGGAAAAGTTGCTAAAGAATCTCCTATAACAAAATTTATTATTTAAAGTTACCCTATAATTTGATTAGGATCTATGTGCAATCTATTTCTAATATATGAGACTTTTCTTGAATTGTGTACAACTTATCTTCAATTATATATAAAATGAAAGAAATTTGCTCATAGTTGAAGTGTAAAGATTTGCACGCAGCTAAAAAAGAGTCATTCCTATCGAAAATAATGTGCACTTGCTCAAGGAGCGAAGCCTTTACATATATTTGGACAATAAAGTCTACAATGAGATTTTTCAACAATATTATTAAATATTATGGAGCTTTTACTGATCCATACAATGAGATTTTACGGCAATATTATTAAATGACAAAAAGTTGAACTATAATTTTCAGGAAAAAAAAATCTCACTACTTTTCTTTAAAAGCTGAAATGAATGTTTTTAATTTTGAATTACCTTAAGTCAATAATACATATCTATATCAGAGAGTTTAGGATAAATATTCCAGCCTACAGTGTGATTTTACCTATGATAAGACCAAGACTTTAATGTATCAAAGCTTGCAAGTTCTGAGTTCGTCTTGTTACACCTCTCTCGTTATTTTTATGTTCTTCATCCCTTTGAGTGCAACATGCCAAGAAGGCAAGAATATTCTCAAGAATATTCTCTTTCTTTCATTTGATGTTTACTCTTC